ATCACACCCGATACATATCCCGATCCTCGCTATGATCGAAATTCTTTTCAATATTTCGATCCTGTTTTCGCGTTCAATGAAAAATGTGAATTATTATTATGTGCGTATTATATCAACGCGTATGACATTATTCATCCATCCTTCCATATATCTCATCGTAAGAACCATCTGTCAACGCACATATCTCTTCATAAACGTTCATGAGATAAATTATCATTTGTACTTGTACTCGTGTACAGTATAAAGGTACCTACTCATAGGCGCGTCATTTGACGCGCGCATCACGCGTCATTTGAGAAATAACTAGATTAAGTATACCAAGGCACAAATAATCGGTCCATAGACGTTGATTCGATGTCTATAAATATCGAATCAATATTTAGAAACGTCGAATCGAGGTCTATAGACCGATCATTTCTGCTTGGGTAGTGACTTCTAGCACTGTCGCGTTTGACGCGTTTGCAGTTGAATTTATGCAACTGTAAAAGCGTCATCGCATTTATCGCCAAATTTTTTGTTTAAAAAAAAATTGTTTAAAAGTTCATGCCCTAGTGAGGACCTGAGAACTAAAAATTGTAACTGTTTCTGACAAAGAAAGATTGTTATAAATTATGACGCGTGACGCGCACGTCAAATGACGCACTTATGAGCAGGCACCTTAACATGTATACGTTTCTTTTTACATTATTATGCATTATACATACACACGTATTTCACTTCCTTAATCCTTAGTTTCGGTTCTTGCCTGCCATGTTGGATCTGCTACCTAACTGTAGCCTGGATTTATTTGGCACCTGTGCTGTCAAGGGTGTAGAACGGCCCTGCAACTTTACGTCCTCGCGTGCCTACGTTTTCGGACGCGCCTAGAATTGCACAGATTGCACCCATTGCTAGTTTCTATCCCTGACTGCCAAGTAATAACCCGTAGAACATTATGGTAGCAATTTGTACGTGCCCCCGTCCGTGCACTGTAGGTACGCGTGTGTATTCAATATTAAGTCCGCATTAGCCCTCTGCAGCTCCACATGTCGAACCATGTACATTAAAATAATACATTCATATATGGATATTTCGTTATTTTTAAAGAGGATTTATATAAAATTAATTCGCATTTATCCACGCGTGTCGGATAAACGCCATACGTTTCTGCATTCTGTTTCGCTAAACGAAGAGAATTTATTTTCATATGCTATTCTAAAATCGTATTTTCAGGAAATGATTATATATGCTGATTATATATGCATATTATTTATTTTATGTGGGTATAATAAATTATTAAAAATTATTACACGCAAAAGTAGATGTAATCTTCACTATTTAATGAGAGGCATGAATTTAGAACGATTCGAAAGTAAATTCTTCGAACGTAGTAGTTTCCCCATGAAAGACAAATATACCCGGGATCAGTAATAAATATTCAAGATTCAAGTTGTTCGATGAGCAACAGCAGCAGGCTAATTCGGATGGAAATTTGCGAGCTACCGAGGGTTAAGATCCTAAGATGGAAATTGTGCAGGGGGAGCAGCTGTTTCTCAAACCCGATCGCTTAGCGACATTGAAGCCCCATTACAAGAGCGAGAAGCCGCCGCAATACACGACGTTCAAGCCGAGCAACTGAAGATTTTGCTATGTTCATTTTATATCAATATATACACGTGAGAAAAAAACCGAGGTAGATGGTATAAAGAGCGGAACGAGCGGAACGACGCAGAGAGTGGCACGAAATCAGAAACGCAAAACACCGTAGCTCTACTTGTAACAGCCTCACTTATTACGAATATGAGATATATCTAGGAGAACCGCGTATACATATATGCAGCATGTGTAACAATTGCGAACTATTCAAATGCGAATCCGTCGTGGCGTTCGATCGAAAGATGCAATAGCGACGAGTCTCTCGCTAAAATAATATACTGCCGACAATTTCTTCGGAAATAAGACGATCGATACGATCCCCCAAAGAACCAATCAAAAACGAGAACTTACGCATATTTATAACGCTTACGATAATATTGTTAATAAAACGATGATTTTCATCAGCCACTATTTTTATTGACACCTTTAGATTAGAGTATACGAATGGTAAGTTACGAAACGTCGCTATTCCTACGATGCGACGAAATTCGACGATTGTATCAGTAATATATATTCGACTCATTATTGTCATAAATAAATTTATAATACCTAAAACCTTCCAAATCCAGTTTCAGAAAATTGAGACTTTCTTTATGCGATCACAAATAATAGATTTACAATTATTTTATTACCAGCTTCATTGCGACAAACAGTTCGTTGCAACGTAAGTATATTATATGATACATCCTATTCAATTTTTGCATTCTACTATTGTTTTTCTCATTTAATTTGTATTATTTCAGAATTTGGAATGACCTTGTCTCTACTCAATTTAATTATATACATATATCTAATATTACATTTTAAAGATTCAAAATTAACGCTATTACCAAATATAAGCGACACGATTTCTTGTTACAAAGTTACGTTTCAGTTTCTGCAAAATGTTTACCACTCTTCAGTTTATGAAAAATTTCACGATATGTATTATTCTTATGAAAACTGCAGTCATATCGTTGTAGAAACGTCGCAGTGTAAAAATTTTACCATTTTATCTTTATTTTAAACCTCATTGCTCCTGTACGAAGTACACGGCGAAAGGATGAAATATTTTTACGATGCATTTGCATTTATCTTGTTCACCATCCCGCTGTTGAATCATGGTTTAAACTCAGTCATACGTCGTAGAGCTTGTGTATATTGATTGTCAATAAAAGAAAATCGAGATCCAAGTATCAAAATTCGTCAACCACGGAATCCGTGAATTTTACAAAGCGGCGGAAAATATGCAGAACTCGGAACATTCGCGATTTTGCATTATCGACGTTAATTCTGAACAAAAATAAATTTTATTGAGAAAAATAAATAAAAATAAAACTCAAAGGAAATGATAAGACAAACTCGTTAATATCTGTTTACTACTTAAAAAATTAATTTATGTTGTTTGAGACTTCTAGAAACTCATATTATAATAACGTAACGTTGTACTGTAATAATAGATCATTTCTGTTCGTGTTACGTGAACTTTTTGCTCTCGGCAGAATCTTCGCTTTCTCTTTCTCTCCAACGCCTGAATACATATTTATATCGTTTTAATGTAAAAATTTTTGGGGATTCCAAATAACATGAACAGATCTAATAACAGACCTGTACTTTCTCATTGCATTAAAACTTTCTGTATTGCTTTCGTCAAATTTCAAATAATTCAAATATGTAATTATTTCTTTTTAAAGCTACATTCCAAAATGTTTAAAAAGCTACAGACTACATTCTAAATCATATATATATTAATATGAAAATCGACTACAATGTTAAATTCAAATTGCTAAAATCAGTTTAAAATTATTTTAAGACTGAAAAAAATATTTAGCGCGCTGTTACTTGAAATTGTAAGATTTACGTATAAATATTATGACGATCCGCTTTGATGCATTTCTTGTTTCAACAGTTTAAATATTCTAAAACGTTTCGAAGATATTAAAAGTTAGTTTACATAAACTATATAGCTTTCTAGAAAAATTTTTCTCGTAAGCAAAACGTTTTGGAATGTATAATCTAAATCTAAAAGTATATACGACGAGAGAGAGAGAGAGAGAGAGAGAGAGAGAGAGAGAGAGAGAGAGAGTATGTGTGTGTGTGTGTATGTGTGTGTGTGTGTGTGGGTGTATGTACATTAATTCAGTTGATCAACTCATACATATATATATATACATTATAGTTTCACAATTTTATGTGCTTATCTCGTCAATTCGTTGTAAATCTATTGGATTAATGCATAACATATCAACGTACGTACCATTTCTCCGTCGCTGCATCATTTGACGTAAAAATCTTCAAGATGTACGGAATCATTCTATCTCTCGGCCATCATCTTCGGCTGGCGTTCAGATATTCACTGCCAGTGCTGAAAATCTATAGTGCACGTAACGTATATTATAGATTTTCAGTACTTGCAGTGAATATCGAAACGCAGCCTTCTTCGTGTGCGAACATATAATTTCAAATGAGCGTCGAACTCGCGCAAGATTCGAAACGTGCATGCATATTGCATTGACATTATTGACGTATCGGTTGGTAGAATGATCGCGATTCGCGAATGCACGCACGATTATCGATATCGAAAGCTCTCGAGGCTCGAGGGAACAATCGTTCTAGAGGGAGTCTAGTAAGAATCATTACAGACCGGAGTCCCTAGGCGTATCTGAAGCTGCCTCGTCGTGATTGGCTGAAATCCGATATGCGATCCGCAAACCGCGATTAATGACGTCACATGCTCTGTTTTAGATTTCTGATTGGACGAGAGGAGCATGTTATCAATCGCTCTCGGAGCGATCAAACGTCAAAACCCCGTTCCGTCCGAAAACGCTATAAATATAAAAAGTTATAGTTTACGTAAACATGTGCTACTGTAACTCAAATAGAAATTTTCCAGTTACATGTGTTAATGTAACCCTAATAAAAATTTTCCAATGTATAATGATAAAAGAAGTGCAACCTTTAGTTGATGACTATACTGTCAAACAAAAAAATTTTATATTAAAAATTAGCTAATTGGAGATAACGTGGCTATCGGATCTCCTTTGTTTGCTATAAGGCTACATTCCAAAACGTTGCTTTCGAGGAAAATTGTACTAAAGAGCTGTATAATTTATGTTACGTATGCTACAGCTTTTTAGTAAAATTTTCCTCTCGAAAGCAACGTTTTGGAATGTAGCCCAAAACTTATATTTAAAACAGTTTATAGATTTTAGACAGGATATCGGTCTCAGTCTTATTATTTTCGATTAATTTAATGACCGGCTGATTATTACATTGGATTTAACCAATCGCAAGCTGAATTGGGGATTCTCGTCTGTTTCCGTCAATCCTATCTTGACATAGAGTGGGTATATTTTTACCCACTCAGCAGTCAGCACTCTATCTTGACATCTCCGATATCTCCGCTCGCGCTGAAGGTCTCGCAACTTCTCGCTCGTACTGTGCTCGTACTCTGTGACGGAAGCTCGTGTAGCGTGCCCGCGAACGGCATTTGCCAAATCTGAGCGAGGTTAACGTATACGCGTGAGTTCGCACGAGCACCGAGAACCACGTTTACACGATATCTCAACCGGAATACGTCGATGTGAAAGCTCGCAACGTTCTTACGGTCATGGCAGTTCGTGTGCAATTTGAGAACAACAACGAGATCGGCGTCTTCTCGAAGTTGACAAACTCCTACTGTTTGGTCGCGATCGGCGGCTCCGAAAATTTTTACAGGTGAGCATGACGTCATTCATAACGCAATTTCGCGAAATCGGTATTGTGCAACTGATATCCTTTATCGACTTTGTCGGTTATTTCAACTATAATATCAGGATGCGAATATTTGTACACCATAACCTTAAAAATGTGTCGCAATACAGTGTAATTGCACGTTGTTGCGAGGTAAAATGGAATGATAAGCGTCAAACTTCAGTACGAATGTAATAAAGTTTGGAAATATAATAATGATAAAAAACATGAGCGTCACTGTTATCTTACTAATCTATCATTTGATTTCGATTGGACTAATCACTATAATTTTTTCGTTCATTATAATACAGTGTATTTGAGGCAGAATTATCCGAGACTATTCCGGTTATTCACGCATCAGTAGCAGGATGCCGTATCATAGGTCGACTGTGCGTTGGTAAATATTTTAAAATAACTTTTATCGAAGTATGAATGTTGCTGTTAAAATATTGATCAGTCTTTACTTAGACAATCGAATAATGGTTGAATAGGCTGTATTTTAAAGCTCAGTATTGATAGTACTAGAAATCTAGCATATGTGGACTTTAGATTTATAGTACTCTCATTTTAGAACAATCTAAAAACCAATCTAAAAACAATCGGAGTATATGTAATTTGACAGTAGGAAAATTTCTTAAAAATCTTTAAACTTTATTATCTATTTATTATCTAATAATTTATTATCTAATATATATTTACATGAATATAGAAATAATTTATTATACATTATTTAATAAATAAATAATGATTATACAAGTAGTTTGAAGATTTTCAAGAAATTTCTTATATAGTCAAGAACTACACCGAAAGTTTGTTGTTCTAGTTTCTTTAAAAATGTAGTTTCAACAAAAAGAGTAGTTAACATTTTGCCATCTCTGCTTATTTCTTCTCGAGAAAATTTCTTGAAGAAATTAATGTCGTAAAAAATTAAACATTTTTTTAAAGTTGAAAATTTTCTTATCTATATCTTATCTATGTACATGTTACTCATAATAATTTATCTTTGCAATATAGCGAACAAGAACGGACTATTAGTACCAAACACGACAACAGACACAGAACTCCAACACATTCGAAATTCCTTGCCAGATAATGTAAAAGTGCAGAGAGTGGAGGAGAGACTCTCTGCTCTCGGCAATGTTATAGCGTGTAATGATTATGTCGCTTTAGTTCATCCAGATTTGGATAAGGTAAATTTTTCATATCTCCTGTTATATTGACTTAAGAAATTTCTAACTGAAATACGCTACTTTAATGGCTCCAATTTTGTATTTTCACAGGAAACTGAAGAAATTTTAGCCGACACTCTGAATGTGGAAGTATTTAGACAAACTATCGCGAGTAACGTTCTTGTCGGTTCATATTCCATTTTATCTAACCAAGGTGGTTTGGTGCATCCAAATATGCCTATTCAGGAGCAAGATGAGTTATCTTCACTTCTGCAAGTGCCACTTGCGGTAAGACAAGCGAAAATTCCGAGAGTTTTCTATTTCTGTGAATGATTTTTATAAATGGTATTCCAGACTGGAACGGTGAACAGAGGCAGCAATGTGATTGCCGCCGGGATGGTTGTAAGTGATTGGGCTGCTTTTTGCGGCATGGACACAACTTCGACAGAAATCGCGCGTATCGAGAGTGTTTTCAAACTTAACGAAGCTAATCCAACTCCTATTACATCGAGTATGCGCGCACCTTTTATAGAAAGGTAAGAAATTAAAAAAAAAAGCAGGTATGGCGTATGAGTATATTAACAGTTCTCCATATAACAAGAATTCTCCTCGTTTTAGTATGTCGGACTTATAAGAAATGCATGCACCTTTTATGGAAAGGTAAGAAATTAAAAAATGTATGATTATATTTAACAATTTTCCGTATCACAAGAATATCTCTCGTCGTTTTAGCATGTCGGACTTATTAAAAAGGACTTCTTTAAAACAGAAAAAGTATACAGGACTATACATTATGTATGTGTACATAAAACTCAATATTTATGGCTTTATCGGCACAAGATTCTTTCATCACCATATCTATAACAAACACTTCTTCGTAATTTCGACATGAGATAATACGTGTAATAAGATACTCTATATTAAAAATTTGTATGAAATACAATGTTTCTGTCCATATATTTGATTAGTAGGATTGTTGTAAAATAAACTTGCAGTCATTAGCTATACGCATGCGGCGTAGTCTTAAAAAAAAAATCAATAAATTTGAATGAAAGAAATGAAATTAAGCAATGGAAAGTCAAAAATTACTTGTATCACTTATATCTCGTATTCTCTTCCTAGAAATAATATCTGTAATGAACATTATATCAAGGTAAGTTTACTTCCGACTATACAAGCATCTATAAAGTATATTTATAATATCTCTGTAGCTATCTCTGATAATTAATGAATATAACTATGTATAAAACAGAAATATTCTATTGAAATATATTTTAATCAATAATATTCTCTTTGAATACAAACGCGCTTTGTGTCAAAAATGTAAATTATCCATCCTGATAGTTTACATAGAAAATGAACTATGAGTAAGAACGTTGTGTGGGCTGGCCGGCCAATAAAAATTTGCTGTAAATCAAGTGGACCAGTCCAGATTTGTTAATTTTTGATCGATTTGAGACTAGAGCAGTGGTAGTTGTTCTGCGTGTAACAATTCGGTGGCTGCGGCGGAATCGGCACACATGACCAACGTAATGCCTGCTTGATAAGACGCCGGAATGCGAATGTGAGTCGCTCCACTGGTCGTACCGTTAGGTTGCTGCCTTTGGCTCATTGATTCTCGCACCATATTTACAACTTGCCCTGTACCACAAATGCGTTGTATTAAAATTATTATCGCAATTAAAACTACATGAAAAAAATAGCATATATACATGTATCATACCAAGGACATTAAGTTTGCGCCACTTTTGATCCATTGTCGCGAGCGGCGTTAGATCTGTATTTGCATTCCAATGCGCTAGAACGTCTGTTTTTCGTATTAATAAAATACTGGGGCTAACTAATTGATGCCACACAAGCTAAAATCATGTCACAAGCATAAAGTTGAAGTATATCAAATCAATTTCAAAATAATTGTTACTTAAGCATGATATTTTTTATTTTCAGTCAATTATACAAACCTGTTCAGGTAAACATTCTAAGGGATTTGTTAAATATATACCAGCCTGTCCTACACCAAATATCATTTGATGATGCCATGCGTCTGGTATATCGCAACCTTCTCCACAATGTTGTAAATTCAATGTTGCGATTGGTGCAGCACCTAAAATGTAAAAATATATTTTGTGCTTGTATTTCTTGACATTTATTACTTCAATAATATATATATATACATATATATATATATATATATATAAATAATACAATTAACAAGATCGAACCAACTCAACTCATTATTCCTCTTTATTGTGTTGATTTTAAATCTCTATTGAGCCTTAAAAATTGATGATTGTGTGAATTTGTTAGAAAATATAAATATATTTTAAATCTCTATTGAGCCTCAAAAATTGATGATTGTGAATATATATATATTCACACAATCATCAATTTTTTAATATATATATATTCACACAATCATCAATTTTTGAGGCTCAATAGAGATTTAAAATCAACACAATAAAGAGAATGAGTCGAGTTGGTTCGATTTTTGTTAATTGTATTAATATTATCTGTGTAGGGGAGCTATCTTATTATCTGTGTAAGAACTAACGTATTTTTTAATTTCTTACCTCTAGAAATCCAATAATGCAACCAATGGGATAATGACACTTTTCTCTCTGGATAAAATGCAAAAAACTTGGTTACAGCTGCACCATTCGTGGACAGAGATATTCCTCGTGCTATGTCTTTATGAGTTGCCCCTGCTACTGAACGACTAACAAGATACCTCGGTAGCGGTACACCCAGTTCCCTCAATCTCGTATTTACACCTTTTACTAACACTTCCAGGGAAAATGATACATTTAAGGCCAACTGAAAATAGATGATTTATGTATATACAAATAGATTCGGTCACACTACCGTAGAAATTCACAAGTCCCGTAACATTTATGTGCTTGAATATTACCAAAGCATTAATTGCGGATGTAGCACCACAGGCGGAGGTACCAATTTGCGTGACTTGCTTCATCGTGGCTTCCTGCTCACTCCACAGCATTACCTTTTCAACTAGCGGTAACCCATCTAATCGTTCGTTACACAGTTCATTTTCCTACATCGAACATTGTTTAAAATTTAATAAGACATAGTGTTCGTTGAACATGATTTAAATCTGTTTAATAGTAAATATATTAACCAGATTGGAATCACCGCTTTGATTAAACGCAGCATGCTTATTGAGCATTAGTTTCTTAGCCATTATTCGATGATAAAGCGTAGAAATGAGATTAACCTTCCTGGCATTCAAATTGGAATTGTCCGGGAGAGATGACGTCGAGGATTCGGCCCATAATTCGGAATCCGAATCTCTATTATCACCGGGCGATATAAGATCGCCGCTCGTGTTGTGATAACCGTACGACTCGCGTACTGGGCAACCTGTATTACGATAAAGTGTCGCACTGTCCCACCTTCCTGTAAATTTCATATCAACGTGGAATATTTCCCGAACGATAGTACGATTTTTAATTTGCATTGCTAAGAGCTGTAGTGAGATTTACCAGTTCCAGCGCTAGTACTAGGCATCCACGGAGCCGAGTAAGTTGACTTTGCACTTTGCTCTACTGTACATTGATTACTTGTGCATTGTTGGTAAGCGGTATGATTAACATGCTGTGCCGCTGGTTTCGAAGTCTGCGGCGTCGCTACCAATCCCTGTCTAGACACGACTTTTCCACTACTCAGATCATTTAGCACTGGGTCTTGCTCTATATTGTCTAACGCTATATTCTGTATATCTTCGTTTATAGAGGCCGGATCACTATCTCCAGTATCCTGTGAGGGAAGAACGAAGGACATTGTAATCCGACTCGGTTTCGTAATACGGCAAACATCTTACCAGTTCGCAGGAAGGCCCAGGATCAAAGTCCATTTCCAGGTAATCCATCTCTGGACTCGATCTACCGCTATGGTTCTGTCCCTCTGCTTCCCTCTGATTCGCTGCGTGATTCTGATTCAGTTCTTCCTGTTGATCCAAATGGATCGCATCGTCATTTCCTTTATAAGTGTAGAAATAGTCTTCTCCATCGGACATATCCCCTTCGTTCCCGGAACTGGAATCCATTCGCTCCACCTGCTCTCTCTGCGAAGTCTAAAAGCAAGAAAAACTCGTTAAATTCTGTGAGCAAAATATAAACGTTCAATTAGTTATATATGTTATATATATGTAGAAAACATTACCCTCTGCAATCCACTGGGCCCAGCAACTTCTCTGCTGCCGTTGATATTAGGTCTCAGAAAACAACAAGTTCCTTGGCTCGTCGAGCCTATACTACCACCTATGTTATTCAGTACACGTTTAGATCCGTAGGACTTTGATGTCCAGGAACAGTCAGCCTCCGGACTAGAATCTGAACTGCAAGAGACCTTAGAAGGACATTTCTCTATGGCAGATGCGTAATCCACATTATTCTTCATGTCTGCGTCGTCGTTTGATTTAATCGTTGATAAATTAGGAGGCATTACTGATACATTTAACGTAGATACACCTGAATGTAACGTAGCACTGGCGGTAGCTGCGGCGGAATTAAGAACGGCTGACGCTGAGTTATGACCGTGGTGTACATTCGCTTGAGTGGAAGATAGATTCAAGTGCATCTGGGACTTAGGCAGACTCAACGGGCTCGCATTCACGACAGTCTTATGCTTCAATTGACAGTTAACGGTATTGGTGTTCGCAGTCTGAGGCTTGACACTGGCGGTCGCGTTTGCAAACATGGAAGATACATTCACATCCTGACAAACGTTCTGCTCCAAGGAGTTGGCACAATCAGACACGGGGTGGTTTTGCACGGGTTTCGTCCCGTTGGCAAGCACAACGGAGGTTTTCGACGTTGGCAGCACGAGCTTGATGCTACAGTCGCCGCCGCCGCCGCCGCCGTTGTTGTTCAGCCTCAACTGCTCCTCGGCCCCGTTCTCCAGCTGCACCTTGGACGTCATCGCGTCTTGGTCCACGGACTGTTTGTCATTCTTCAGACCGACGTCCACACTGACCTCCGCTTTGCCCTGACCGTGCTCATCGTTCCCCTCCGAATTCATATTACCCGCGACGAGACCGCTGACGGCGACGGTGTTACACGGCATCCTGCAAAGACCAAGGCGCGCACGCATATGTACACACAATAACGGAGGACTACAAGGATATACTTTTCCCCGGACAAAGAAAAAAAACCCACATTCTCCTGCCCCGACGATCCCGTCGTCAACGCGATCGTGCTTACCATGTGGCGTCGTACGGCGATCACCCGCTTAGAGACCGGGTAACGACATAAGGGGACACGATCTCTTCGAAAGAAACGATTATTCCGTTGCGTTGGTTAGGCGGCGATCCACATCCCTTCGTTCGTCCCGGCCGGAACTGCTGGAGAAAAAGCACGCGACCTCGCGCGATCTCGCGACAGGGGGGACTGTGCGTGTCTCTCGCGCGCGTTTTTCCTCCTCGCGAAAACGAAAAAAAAGAGGAGGGGGACACCTCTCCGTCAGGCGAAACTGCCGAAACACCCCGCTAACATCCTAACAACGTCCCGCAGTGGTCACCGGAAGTCAGCTGATTGTTGGAAACGAGCGTGCACACATCGATACACACGCGCGCGAGAGCCCCGCCGCATCGCTCGTGCTTTTACGCTGCCCCTTTCGCTCTTCACTCTTTACTCATGCTGTCATGCTCGTGTTTTCTTCTTTTTTCTCTCTCTCTCTCTCTCTCCGTATTTGCTGACGCAGGTGACCGCTCGTATTTGTAAATAAGTACTCCTTCGTCAATTATTACAGAAACGTGTATCGTCGATATCACCGGAATGCAAATCGCGCGACGCAGCGTGCATCCTCGGTACACTCGGTATCGTTAATCCCTTTCGGCATTCCGGTTTGGATTATCGGAAATAATTGTGATGGGAAGCGTGAGATTTCCGATAAATGAGAAAATGAGAGAGGGAATGAAGCCAGGTTGAAAGATCAGCGTATAGTGATCATCTGATTGGCTGCTCCATATTGTTATTTCCCATTACACGCGCGTTCACACTGCAGATTTTTGTTTCGCGAAAATAATTGTATACCTATTAAAGGAAAAAATAAAATAGCGAAAGAGAAGATCGGTGCCATGCATTTGACCGGGCGACTGTCAGTTCTCGGCGAATCTGAGAGAACGCGACGCGTCTGAGTCGCGCGTTCGAGTCCAGAGCTGCCCGAGCAGCTGATGTGTACTAATGACGCCAGGTGTATACTCGGCCCTGGGACGCTATCGTGCGGCGATTCGTGCCTCCGTTTCACGTGCGCGGATACAATAAAGTGCGGGACTTGAGACGGCGAGTCGAGCTACTGGCGGCTGGTGAGAGGAATCCCGGCGGCAGAATGAATGTCGTTCGGATCAACTCGAAGAACGTGATATTTCTCTTCATGGCGCTCCTGTCAACCTCCGTCCAGGAGGCTCGCATGGATTACGGTGAGTAACCTCGTTCCTAGCCATCGATGTGAGGACTGGCGGGACAAGATTTCCACGTGAAATGTTTGTAGGAGTCAACGTTGAGGGGTGAAACCTGTATTTGCATTAATGTTGAAACGCTAAAGTAACTCTGATTTCTTTTTTTTTTTTTTACATGCACCTGTAACTTGGTATTCATTGTGATTCATTGTGATTGTTGCAGGCACTGCGACCAGCTATGCTGTGAAGGAAGCCAACGTAAACTCAACGCCAGCCTACAGCAGCAAGAAGGTGAGACCCTTTAAACCCAAGTAATAGCTCCATGTAATGATACTTGCGAGTACAGATCGGATTGTTAAATCGCAGGAGGAAATGGCTGGCCTGTGCCCGATCGGGATACCTTGCGTAGAATTGAGCGGAGAATGCCTGAAGTGCAACTTGGATTACAGCTGCATATATGGGGCAATGCTTGAGGCAAACTGCTCCGTGATGGAGCACGTCGATTGTACAGTACGTAAAGAAAGATTTTTACAGTTCTACAGTTCCAGCTTGAAGCTTTCAAGTTCTTTAATATATTGAGACATAATTAAATTGGATGTTTCATTTATTGACAGGGAGAACAGACTTTTTCGAAGCAGTACATATGCCGATTCTGTTATCAAACTGAACACTGGGAGCATCAATGTCATCAGAAAAATTCTTGTAGCTCAGTAGCGTCTCCTCAGCAATATTATAGGTTTGTATACTGTCATCTCATATATATATCGCATCAAAGTTTTGTAATATTAATTTTGAAATTCAATTTTAATATACTTTAAAAATCCATATTTTTATTCCTCTGCAATCAATTATTACATTAAAATTATATATATTATATATTTGTACATATAAAAAGAATATATATGTGTGTACATATACATACATATATATATAAGCATATTTAACTATAAACTTCAATTTTTTCAATTATTGTTATTTCATTTATCATTATTGTAACAGATGAGAGTTTTATGTATATATATATATATATATATATATATATACATACATATATGTCATAATGATACTGACTGAATATTTTTGTTGTAGAACAAATTGTACAGTAAACAATGATATAATATGTCTGGGTAGACGGAAGTTTATGAAGAACTTGCCTTGTAATTGGACAGTTGGATATCGTTGGTCCACAGCTTTGATCCTAAGCATTACTCTCGGAGGATTTGGCGCAGATAGGTACTTTATGACTTTGCAAGCATACTATTTGAAATCGATTAAGTATGAACTCACACAAGATTTTATATGGATTGCAGGTTTTACTTGGGACACTGGCAGGAGGGTATCGGCAAGCTTTTTAGTTTTGGCGGACTGGGTGTGTGGACATTAATTGACGTAATATTAATTTCTATGAGATATTTAGGCCCCGCTGATGGCTCTTTGTATATTTAGATCATTTATGGATTTTTTTTTGTAAATATCAACATGAGGTATCTAAGTCTTTTATCATAATTTATCGTTAGCCCTTGAGAAGATGTTATATTTGTTGAACTAGGTACAAATTAATGTGATATATGTACATAAATATGAACAAAGCGGCTTTTAAAAAAATAAAATTTATTTAATTAGTCATAGACAATAATTGTGTCACAGATTTAGATAGATTTATCATTGTTTAATAATTAAGTTTAGTATAATTTTAGATAGATTTAGCGTTATTTAATAATTAAGTTTAGTATAATCTTAGATAGATTTAGCGTTGTTTAATAATTATGTTTAGTACAATTTCTGTATAAAATTCTTGGAAGAGAAGGGAAAGCAAATATAAAATGTTGATTTTTGTAAAGGTTATACTGTAAAAGTTATACTGTACAAATAATTATATAGATAATTTATTTGTTAATAAAAAATATATGTCCGTACATCGCAGAAAATTCTAATTTAATTGCTATTATTTAAAAGAAAAAATTAAAATAAACATATGCTTATGTGTCCATAGAATTTTATTAGACGTGGTGGGCAGTGTACGAAACGTAAACACTTGTGTACAGAAGTGAAATACTCAGAATAGGTTAGAGTATTCGAACACTCGCAAAAATCGATGTGTCGGTACTGGCCGGTACACGGCAACATTATTAACCAAAGAGATGCATTAGCGTGACAGAAGTGTTGTTAACAACATTTTAAAAATATTTATTGACTCGAGGTGAGCAACTGTTCTCTCGCGAGGAAGAAAAGAAATCGAAACACAGGAAAGTTTGATGCACATAACCTCTCCACATAACCTACTGCGTTGGCGAGTTGGCAAGTTTCAAAGAAGTCTATGCAGATCCAGCAGAGAAAAGCTGTACGCGGCTAACAAATATATATTATGGGATCTTCGAGAGTCTCCAGAGATTTTTAATTACGCTGATCGGAACTTGGTTACGTCAAAATGCCTACGGTTATAGCGTTGGACGTCTCTCTCTCGATGAGGAGACCCGTGTTGACAAGTGGGACGGGTGACAATTTGCAAAATGAACCACTGACGCGGCATCATTTAGCGGTGCACGGCATAAACGCTCTGCTACACTACTTGCAAGTTAACTCAAAATTGGAATTTGTATCGCTGGTAAGAACAGGCTGATGCCAGAGTGTCGGGGTACAATGGTTATACGTCGATACGCGGTAACTCGACGAATTTCAAATTTTCAGATTGTATTTTCATCACTGTACGAAATAGTTTGCCCTTTCACCCGCGATTACGACAGCATACGCGCAAAGTTACAAACTATCGAGGAGTGGGACAAGACGTGCATCGAGGGAGCGTTACACGGAGTTAATAATGTAATTATGGCGGAATGGGGCAACGCCACGGCCTGCCAGGTGATATTAATTACAGACGGCAATCCTGGCGTGGGACCAATGTCCTTGGGCAATTCTCTGAGCTCTTTGAACGTCGCGCAGGATAACATAAATCCCTTTCCGCTGCCTTTCCCGTACCCGGGGAAATTAAGTATAGTTTGCATCGGGTCGCAGCAGGGTAAGTCGAAAACGCGAAAACACGTCACTTATATTTACCTTTATTTCGTATATTTTAATGTATTACTTGTTACATTTTCAGACCCCAGTTTGCAGATTGGTTTACCTCTCTATCAGCGTTTAGTCGACCTAGCTGGCGGGGACAGCATTGTGCTGGTCCCCGAATCGCCGCTCAGCAAGTATTCCGTCGCCGCTTGCTTCCAGAAGCTAGCCGAAGCGAATTACGTTTCCTTCCAGGGATACCTGAAGTGCGGCCATTTGGGCTCCCGTATTTTATTGTCGCCAGCTCCCATGGTAAACATTACGAGAGTATGTTAGATTGCTATAAACAATTAGACACTGCATTACGTGTATACATTTCAGCTTTATACAAAGAAGACAGATTTCGAATTGGCCCCGGGCTTGGCGATATCAAAAACTATAGAGATATGTGGATTTATATCTGTAGGGGATGTTGGTAGTCCAAGTTCCATTTCCAGACACTTAGTGCTGCCGCTGGCAACAGAGAAAAATTCAAGTATGCAGGGTATATCGTTAGATGAGGACTCGGACACCGATGAAAATGGAGACGAGGGGAAAATGCCCTCTTTTTGCGTGTTACTTCATGGAGCATTAAAAGTTAATGTCTTACTAAAGAGCAATGATTTGAATCTGATTAAATTAACATTAATTTATTAATTGTTATATTTTGATATAGGTAGAAAACATGGCAGCCCTTTGTATGTTGAACAACGATTGGTATGGATTTATATACTCTTGGGCGGACACGAAGAAGAAATCCAACTTAATGCTAACAGTATTAGAACCAGGATCTGACATTGTACCGTGGTTAGGCAATTTCAGCAATTTGGGTCCATTAGACACGGTTAAAGGTTCTCCCGTTTGTTTCCCGGTCAGACCGACCGAAAAGAGAAGCTACACACAAAACGCTCCTTCATGGATTCGCCAAGTTGGCTTGCAGTCCGATATTCAAAAAATCTTAAGACATGCGAGAAAATTGCCCGACAAGACACAAAACTTTTACAAGGTAAATTATATATATGGAAAGAATAAAGCAATTGTGAATGATTTAAATTACATTTTTTGTAAGATAATTCTCTGTCGCACAGGAGGTAAACAGATTACGGCGTGCAGCAGCGTCCATAGGATTCATCGAGTTACTAGAAGGATTAGCATGCATTTTGGAGCGTGAATGCACATTGCTGCCACCGAATCTAAATCCCGATTGCACGATTCAGATGGGCCACGTTGCATCGATGATCAGAAAGCCAGAATTTCACGAGCTCAGGTACAACATTCCACCCGCGCGGACGAAATTTCAACCTGGATCATGAGTTGTAATGCACAGTAATTGGAATGTTATTTACATTTATATTAAAGCTGGACATTCATACAGCAAAAATAATACTTGTATTTGTTATAATCATACGCCATGTCCCATGTTAATATCACATGTGTTATTTATATTACGTAGTACTTTCTATCTTACATTTAACTTTTTCATTTTTAGCATATATATTGCATATATATACGTAAGAATGTACATAGGCCTTAAGCGCATTTATATATGAAATTATATTATTGTTCCCTATTATTAATTACTGGTGGTTAATAGACTTTTGACAGAATTTCAAATTTCTTAGTAGGTAATATAAAATATCGTATAAACCATTTGCAGCTTGTACACTGGAATACTTGTGAAAATCCGGAACGTGTACAAACAGAGTCTTTGTCGACTCGATAGAGAGAGACTGATAAAATATATATTCGCACAGATATCTGCCGGCGTTCTGCGAGGGGTAAGCCTTGCAGCCGCTTCTCTCGGAATTTTTATTCACATTGTCGCAAAGTTCCTCGACATCTATCTCAGTTTCCAGAACGTTACACTCGACGTCCGTTTCGTCGGGGCATTTATTACATACGTCGAGCGTGTTGTAGCCGTTGCTGTAAGCGTGACGCTCTATCGTTAAAAATTCGGCTTCGTGCGACACACCCACGTGCAGGACAATCTAAAAAGAAAAAAGAAACTAAGTATATACGTATGAAAAAATTGCACAGTTCGAATTGCGATAATCTGATATACTTACCGAAGGATTGTGTTCCTTCCAAAGCCGAGGGATATGCTCGGACACGTAATCGTACGAAACCGGAACCTCTTCCGCGATCAGTTTAACGTCGGAAAATTCCACGGAGTTCTCCCAAAGTTTCTGCAATTCCTTCACCGCCTCCCAACTGGCGTTTACCACGTGTGTTTTGAACGGGCCGAAGCCGGTCACCAGGACCGTGCGTTTAGGATCGGCGTCCATTTTGCAATTCGGATTCCCTGCTACGGTACTCTTATTGTCAACCCGATGACGCTCGATTTAAACTTTGCAAATTGATTCCTTATCGTGCGACTGACGCCCGCCGCGGATCAGGCCGTAAATGATTTATTATATTAATTTTACGCGAATCACGTCGAGCTGTTTGCCCAACGATTGCGATATATCTGACATTGCTCGTTCGAATATTTATCGCAATTACATGTACAGTATAAATTTGTAAATCTACAAATATCGCGCAATGGGACGTGTATTGAATGATATCCTATGATCTTAACTCTGTGCCATATTTTACAATCCCTGATACGAGAATACGCTGTATATGAATTTGTCAAAATGACTAAATGTCGAGGAAATGTGGGAGAAAATCGTGGAAGAAGAAATATCGCGTTCTCTGTGCGATCAAGATCCACTTGACGCTACAAACTTGTGTTAATTGAAGCATTCTTTGATTGGTCAATTAGTAAAACCGATTGGTCTCTATTATAATAAATGTTTTGAAATTAAATACTTCAAAACGTTTGTAGCGTTAAGTGAACTACATCACGATTCTTTTAGATTCTTTTTCTTAAAGTTCCTGTTCACTCACCACTACTGTCTCAAATTGTCACAACAGACACGAGAAAATACACAATAAAAATTCTTGTAAAATATAACGTTGTATGGAAATGTTTCAATAAATCAACGCTTACAATCGATTGGGTCGATTTGTAAAAATACCGAAAACTTTCCTCATCGTTAAATAAATATCTGGAAATTAATTATACAAAAATGAAATAAGCTAAATTCAAAGCTATGACAAATGTCGAATTAGTTAATATATAGAAATAAATTAATTTAATTTCTCATCAAAACAGAAAGGTAATTTTCGATATATCTTATAGGTCTTTTCTACTGATTGCAAATTTTATCGATTGTTTTACTGAAAAATATTTCTACTTAAATATATTTTACAATATATTTTACAATTATTATTGTGATTATTATTATACTTTCTTGCTTCTGACGTCACAATGTGGGATACGAGTAGTAATGATGAGTGAACAGAAGTCTTCATATGGATATCCGATCTAATATAAAGAGTCACCGTACCACGCTGATAAGATTCGACAGATTCAAGAAACAAGGTCAATTAGTCGACTGCAGCATGAGTCATGACTTACAAGCATGAGGCATTCCGAGTATAACTATACAATAATATATATAATATACTATACTATACTATATGCTATATTCTATAATATTACTATATTGTATGATAATCGATGGTATTATAATGTATACATTTTGAGTACATTTCGTTCTTTCGACTATTTCGACTTCGAGAATCGCGCGTGCCATTGTTGCTCGATAGAATCCCAACCGCGAAAGTCGATCCATCGGAAAGTGAATGCCGCGTATAAAATAGAAAGACTTAAATTGTGGTATTGCGATTTTAAGGACTCAAAAATAAGAAAAAAAGAAAATACATAGATTTACATTAGATGTGTATCCATAATACCTCTAGAGCAATTTTTCACTTCGTCTTTTAATTTCCCGTCTTCGTTCTTCCCTCTTTCATACAATATCACGCAATCAACGTCTAATCGTTTTTTTACAACATAATGACGTAGATATGATTACAGAATCGAAATGATTGAATAATTAACAAATTAATTTTTAAAATATACTGTTAGAGAGAGAGAGAGAGAGAGAGAGAGAGCTAAAAAAAAATAATTTTTATAAAAAAATGCACGTTAAAAGATCAACTCTCATATTTGCAGCACGCTTTTAAGATCCAGTATAAGATACTTTAATTACGTCATGAATTTTGATCCTATATAAAAGCCTTGAATCGTCATGCATAGTTCCGTAATCCGGTTAAGGAGAACAAAAAAAATTATCAATTTCCTATATATAATATAATTATATAGGAAATATATTCGTATGTAATAATATATATAATTAATTATACATATTAATATAATAATTATATTAGTATATTAATGTAAAAATTGAAGCAACGTTTTCAGTTTTACTGCTAAAAAAATTTTATTAATTAGCATTACATTCCAAAGAAAGAGAGAGAATACACGAAAAAATTATGATTTTTTAAAAATATGTTAAAAAATTTTTCGTTCAATTATAATTGTTAACGCAATCACGGTAGCAACAAGTGAGTAATTAACTTTTAATGCAATTATCAAAAATAGTTTAATCTGCTGCCATACGCTCTCGATCCGCATGTCTAATGAAACATTACAATTTACTACATTAAAGTCGGTGTATAAGAGTCCAAATTAAAATGTAACGTCGATGTATAACAAATCAGTTAATAAATAAATGTTATACAGCTTCATCGTTTTTTATGCAAGAAAGTGTTTTAATTGTTTTGATATTCTATTTGTTAAATGATTTAAAAGAGTAAGTCCGTTTTTTTGTTTGAATTTGTCTATCTAGTGAAAGAAGTTTACATTTTAAAATTGATTGCGTGTTCTTCTTTATACAAATATAAATTCCTAATTCCGTTTGTCTAACTTATGCACTTAAATTACTTATTGATAATAAATGTAATAATACCAAGTCCGCTGTATAGCTGGGACTGCTGGGAGACAGAGCACGCGATTTTTTTTACAGTTTACAGTGTACGAACTTTCAAACACAAGTGAGCGTTTCGATGGAATCGAATAAAATATAAATGATAAACAGTGGCAATAATATAAACAAATTTTTTTGTTTCTTATAACCATGGAACTCCAGGTAAATCTGTCAAGTATATTGAAATATGCTTTGTCGAGCAGTTCTGTATCTTTGTTTAAATTAAATCCATTCGATTGTTCTTTTACATGAATCATTTCGGAAATTATTTATGAATCTTTTATAATAATTTTGGTTCAAAATTCAGTACTTTAATGTTGTCTCTGCAATCAAACGAATGATTGAGATATGTAAGATATGTTGCGTAATAATTACTGTACGTTTGAACGAATTCGATCAGACTCATGTTGTTAACGTGTTTTTTAATTCTATAAGTTTTGAGCATTGTTATATTTTGATATAGGTAGCGAAAACATGGCAGGCCTTTATATGTTGAACAACGATTGGTATGGATTTATATATTCCTGGGCGGACACGAAAAAGAAATCCAACTTAATGCTAACAGTATTATTAGAACCGGGATCTGACATTGTATCGTGGTTAGACAATTTTAGCAATTTGGATCCATTAGACACGGTTAAAGATTCTCCAGTTTGTTTCCCGGTCAGACTGACCAAAAAGACAAGCTACACACAAAACGCTCCTTCATATGGATTCGGCAAGTTGGCTTGCAGTCCGATATTTAAAAAATCTTAAGACATGCGAGAAAATTGCCCGACAAGACACAGAACTTTTACAAGGTAAATTATATATACGGAAAAAATAAAGCAATTGTGCATGATTTAAATTACATTTTTTGTAAAATAATATTATTCTCTGTCGCACAGGAGGTAAACAGATTATACAGCGTGCAGCAGCGTCTATAGGATTCATCGAGTTACTAAAAGGATTAGCGTGCATTTTGGAGAGTGAATGCACGTTGCTGCTACCGAATCTAAATCTCGACTGCACGATTCAGATGGGCCACGTTGCATCGATGATCGGAAAGCCAGAATTTCACGAGCTCAGATATAACATTCCACCCGCGCGGACGAAATTTCAACCTGGATTATGAGTTGTAAGGCACAGTATTATTGGAATGTTATTTACATTTATATTAAAGCTGGACATCCATACAGCAAAAATAAAATTTGTATTTGTTATAATCGTACGCCATGTCCCATGTTAATATCACATTGCGTTAATTGATATTACGTCGTAGTACTTTCTATCTTACATTCTTAACTTTTCCATTTTTATCATATATTGCATATGCGTAAGAAAGTACATAGGCCTTGAGTGCATTTATATATGAAATTATATTATTGTTTCTTATTATTAATTACTGGTAGTTAATAGACTGTTAACAGAATTTCAAATTTCTTAGTAGGCAATATAAAATATCGTATAAACCATTTGCAGCTTGTACACTGGAATACTTGTGAAAATCCGGAACGTGTACAAACAGAGTCTTTGTCGGCTCGATAGAGAGAGACTGATAAAATATATATTCGCACAAATATCTGCCGGCGTCTTGCGAGGGGTAGGCCTTGCAGCCGCTTCTCTCGGAATTTTTATTCACATTGTCGCAAAGTTCCTCGACATCTATCCCAGTTTCCAAGACGTTACACACGACGTCCGTTTCGTCGGGGCATTTATTACATACGTCGAGCCTGTCGTAGCCGTTGCTGTAAGCGTGACGCTCTATCGTTAAAAATTTGGCTTTGTGCGACACACCCACGTGCAAGACAATCTAAAACAAAAAAAAAACTAAGTATATACGTATGAAAAAATTGCACAATTCGAATTGTGATACTCTGGTATACTTACCGAAGGATTGTGTTCCTTCCAGAGCTGAGGGACATGCTCGAATACGTAATCGTACGAAACCGGAACCTCTTCCGCGACCAGTTTAACGTCGGAAAATTCCACGGAGTTCTCCCAAAGTTTCTGCAATTCCTTTACCGCCTCCCAACTGGCGTTCACCAAGTGTGTATCGAACGGGCCGAAGCCGGTCACCAGGACCGTGCGTCTGGGATCGGCGCCCATTTTGCAATTCGGATCCCCCGCGACGGTACACTTATTGTCAACCCGACGACGCTCGATTTGAACTGTTTGCAATTTGATTCCTTATCTCGCGACTGACGCCTGTCGCGGATCAGGCCAGACTCGTGAATGATTTATTATTAATTTTACGCGAATCACATCGAGCCGTTTGCCCGACGATTGCGATATAACTGACGTTGCTCGTTCGAATATTTATCGCGATTACGTGTACAGTATAAATTTGTAAATCTACAAATATCGCGCAATGGGACGCGTATTGAACGGTGTCCAACGATTTTAACTCTGTGCCATATTTTACAATCCCTGATAGAGTATATACGCTGTGTATATGTATTTGTCAAAATGACTAAACATCGAGGAAATGTGAGAGGAAATCGTGGGAGGAGAAATATCGCGTTCTGTGCGACCAAGGTCCACCTGACACTACAAATAATGCTTTAATTGAAGCGTTCTTTGATTGGTCAATTAGTAAAACTCTGATTGATCCCTATTAAATGTTTTGAAATTAAATATTTCAAAACGTTTGCAGCATTAAGTGAACTACACCACGATTCTTTTAGATTCTTTTTCTTAAAGTTCCTGTTCACTCACCACTACTATCTAAGAATTGTCACATTAGACACGAGAAAGTACACAATAAAAATTCTTGTAAAATTCAAAAATATAATGTTGTATGGAAATGTTTCAATAAATCAACACTCACAATCGATTGAATCGATTTGTAAAAATACCGAAAACTCTCCTTATTGTTAAATAAATATATCTGGAAATTAATTATACAAAAATGAAATAAGCTAAATTCAAAGCTGTGACAAATTGTCGAATTAGTTTAATATATAGAAATAAATCAATTTAATTTCTCATCAAAACAGAAAGGTAATTTTCGATATCTTACAGGTCTTTTCTACCGATTGCAAATTCTTTCGAATGTTTTACTGAAAAATATTTCTATTTAAATATATTTTACAAGATTATTATTGTGATTATTATTATACTTTCTTGCTTCTGACGTCACAATTAATTGTTATAGCCATCAAAATAAACTGTCCCAATTTTGCATCATCGTTTCGACGTTATATTTTGATGGCTGTAACCATTAATTCTGTGATGCGGTGCATCACGTACAGTACCAATTGTTACAGCCGTTAGTGTATACAGTGCCTAATTTGCATCATCGTTTCGACGCTATATATAATAAATAATGAAAATAAAACTATTAATTTGATGATAGATGTATTTGTTATTGTAATGGGCGTCATAGAACCAATTGTTACAGCAATCAGAATATATTTTTCCTGGTAGCATCTTCGTTCCGGTGCTATATAAATAATAAAAATAAAACTATTAATTTAAGTAAGAAAATTTGTTATCGTTACCGATAAACGCGTTGGTTATTTTAGACTTTAGATGAATGCATTTAATACTTACTACGGAAAACCGCAAAATCGAAGAGCGGTAAGTTCTCCTGTGCAGATTCTCTTTAGTAGTAGCAGAGAGAAGCAGGCTTCTCTCTGGTAGTAGAGAGTGCCGAAATTTTTGGTAACCTTGTCGATGTTCCGCGACGACACAAATAGAGCGATCCGATGACTGGTTCCGACGTGCGGCACGTGTACGAAAGCAGTAGGCCATAGGAAGGCGGACAACAGGCCAGACAGTGGCAAGGACCATTATATACGATACGAGCGGATATACCTTGGAATATAAGAGTGCAAGGCACATGTAAGGAATTAAGAGCGGAACCAATCCTGAAAGACGGAGAATTACAGACAGCAATAGCCTAATCGGTGTGTTCCTGTTCGAAAAACAATTCAAAGAGTGGAGCGAAGTCTTTTAGAACATGGATCTTTTGCACCGTGATAATTCTATAATTAATAAGTAAAATTTTCTATGTGCTTATTTTGTGTTTAAATTCAGTAGTTTTCAAATATCATGTAAATGTATTTGATTTAATATCTAATATAATAATATTGGTCTATAACTTCGAATCCATAAAATTGTCTTTAATAGTATCTCGTCGACAGTCACAGGATATTTATCCGATACCAAATTTTTTGATACTTGGCTACTGCATTGCTTGATCTGATATTTTGATGCATTATGTTTATAGATATAATAGACAGAAACTTTATACTTAAGGCTATGATCTTTAATAATAACACTTCGGAATTTCATTTTGCTTATACCAGTTAAAATTTTTATTTGTACAGATACAGTAAATACAATAATCGAAATAATGAATGAAGCAATTATACATATATACGTAATAACTTGAATATACAACATTGATAAATATAAATATAGAATATATAAAACTATTATATTTCAGAATTTTTTTTTATGTAAATACTATATTATGCCATGCGCAAAAATATAATCTTTATGTATATCATTTATGTATAAAATATCTTTAGATCTGTAAGGTACACGTATACTTTCATTATAAATGAAAAGAAAATCGCAGTATTTTCGCAAATTCTTATGAGATTCTCTTTTTTTATGGACTGAGATTCAATACGAAGCACGCGTATATATTGGCACAATTCAATGACATTAAAAGCTCATTTACTATCGTTGCATTTCAGAAGCGTTTAGAATATATAGGAACATTCGATCAATATAAGTCACAGTTAATTAACATAGTATACATGTACAGTATATATTACAAAAAATAAGTTTAGAAAATCACTGATTAATTCTATAGTCACTAACTAAATATATTGATGAATAAAAAATAACAATTAAATGCACTTATTAATGAATCTTTTAAATTAAGGCAATTAATGTGTATTCACTTTCGATATTTAATTACTTTCATAAAATTATAGGTGATTTTGAAAAACTATTTGAAATTGTTAGTATTCATCAATATGGCTAGTGATTCTGTATATAATCATCAATAATTTTACAAAATCATGAATTTAAGTACTTGCATTGTGTATATATATCTCAGATATATACATATATCTCAAAATATCTTCATATATAAACTTTGCATATAAAAATAAGTTCATTTACATGTTTCAAAGCTACGTTATTGTCACTGGCATAACTTTTAAAAAATTAAAATAAGAAAAGAAGTTGGACAGTTTTTTGTATACATACGTTGTACGTATTTGTAAAAAGATGAATGATAAATGCAACGAAAAAAGTTCATGTATAACCGAAAATATTTTAGGTCTGCACTAGTGCCAATAGGCATTTTTTGTAATGTCCTGAGCAGTCACCCTGAAAAAAAAAACAAAGAAAGAAAAAAGGGAATTAGATCTCAGTATAAATGTGATATTTTTATATTTTTATATGTTGATAACTTACAGATATGAAATCTTCCAATGACTCTCCATACTGATGGGCAAATGCATTTTTTATTTCACCCATATCCACTTCGCAACGTGTCACAACAAGTCGAATGAGGCGGCTATCATCCGTACCAAGACCTTTCATGCTTTTGTACAACTGTTCGGCGAAGAAACCGGCTCTGTTCTTGACACACTTCACTGTTTGAAAAATATTAATTTTATTAAGCATTCTAGTGGAGAGTTTTCTCTTACACACTTATAACTTATTCTTACCAATTGCAAGGAGACCCTTTTTAATATCGCCCGAAAACTCGTTTTCAATCGCATTCTCAATATCGTGGCCCGTTATGTTATGGTATTCTGTGAAGATCTGTCGCAATTGTGCCAGGTTTCTTTGGACGAGAATCGCGTTAAAAGTAGACTCATCCGTACCAAATCGAAGCTCGCCTGTATAACATTAATATAACATTAAAAAGGAGAAATATATAGACAGATATTTAAATATTCTACACTAATTACCAGCTTGCAAGAGTTGTTTGGCATCTTCCATTGCAGCAGCTTGATTCACATTAAATGACTCATCTCTATTGGCACAACATAATGATACCATCAGGCGTTTGAAATTGCCAGATGTATCACCGATTAAATCATCTTCCAACGTTCTTCCATACACTGTAATTATTAAATAATATAATTATAATAATCAAGCTGATCACTGTAATTTGTAGTCTTAATATCATTTAGATAACTCACTCGCTTCGTATGCTTGTTTAATGATCGAAATTTCATGATTGGACAGTGTACATAATACTTCAATGAGTACTGTCTCATCGGTACCAATACCAGACATTGCATCGTGGAGTTCTTTAGCATAATATTGAGGTAGGGGGGTCATCAAAGCAAGAACAAGTTTTTCGAAGTTTCCTGATAGCTCAGACTTCAAGTCCTTTATCAAATCCTATTAACAGAAATGCAACACGCTGTAGTATTAAGCCCCGAAACATTCACAAAACATTAAAAATTTTTCAAACTATATACCTTTCCATAAAGAGTCTTAAATTGAGATGAAATCTCTTGGCGCTGTAGATTACTGCGATTTGCAAGAACATGAATAATAGCTTTCTCATCGGTGCCAAACCCTTTCATAGCTTTTCTTAAACTTTCCGCATCCGCTCTGGCATCAAAGCCATCGTAAGGCACAACCGTGGGAGAGATCTGTAACAAAATTCGTGGAAACTTTAAGAAAATTTACGCATAAGAATCTACAGAGAGTAACACAAGATATAAGATACTTCTGTTAAGATTACAGTAAGTGCTGCCTTAATACCTGTACAAAAAAAATGTTTAATATTTCGTTTATAATTTTCACAAAAATCTTGAACTATATTCTTAGTCTCACCTTAGGTGTAAACAGATATGTCTCCCGGGGGGCTGGGGCAGTACCACGCGCAGCAGCAGTAGGTGGATTACCAGCGTAAGAATATTTCGAGCTTACCCTCTGCCCCCCGGGATAGCTTCCACTTTGGTATGGAATTGAATTAGCTGCATGTGTATTTGGTCCAGAGGAATAGGGGGAAGGAGACATATTGTTAAAATATTCTTTAGCGTCTGGTGCTGTTTGAAGATTAGGATATGTATTATAATTTTGCTGTTGCGGGTAAGGGGATGGTGCAGATTGATTAGAGGGATAACATGCGGGCACAGATTGGGGATAATATGTAGACGTAGATTGGGGATAACACGTGGACGTAGATTGGGGATAACATGTGGACGTAGATTGGGGATACGGCATTTGTTGTGGAGGATAACTATTGGTTTGTGCGTGTGCATAGCCAGGAGGAGACATGGGCTGTGCTGGATAGGGAGTCGGCGCCTGAGAGAGCTGAGAGTATGGTTGAGGCATGCCAAAAGACGATGGAGCATTTGAGAAGCCCACTGGAGGATAAGACGGAGCACCAGGGGCAGAGGGTGCATCAGGTGGAGCCCCAAATGATGTTGGTGGTCGTGCTCGTCCCGGAAACTGAACAGGTGGCCCCTTGGATATCAATTAAGGTATAGATAACAAATACCAATCCCATGAGCATGCTTTATTTTTTTTCAAATAATTATTTTTAAACTATGTTAATAAATTATGTTAATAGACAATGTTATAGATTCATATAATATATTTTCATGCAAAAATAGAAAGCTTGTCATATGCACATACGTATAACTCTACTCTTTTTCTTAAAAATATGGTTTGCAAAAACATACTCTTCAGTTGTTTAACAAAAAATTAAATGTACTCACTTGATAACCGTAGCTCATTTTGCCTATTGAAGAGTTAAACTGTCGCAATGGAAGAACCTGCACACAGAAGAAGACTAAATTACAAACTTCCTCTCTAATTACGTTGCTATCACGGAACTTGCGGAAATTGCAATTTGTGTACAGCACTATGGTAACAGCATATGCGATATATATATATATATATATATAACAACTCTGATACATATATATTGTAGAAATTTACAGTTTGCTGGAATAAAATCGCGATACATTATCTCAATATATTAAATCATGTAAAATTTATATTTATTCATAGGCTGACACGTGTCACGCATATGTCAGGGAGTCGGGAGAGGTAATCCACCTTGGAGGAGAAAACAAACGGATTGGTGACGCGCCCAACGAAATGCCGCGACGACGTGCTCTTATTGCGAAACATCGATAAACTGCGGATGAACGATGCGTTACGCTAAATCTTATAGGATACGTCACCGATACTCACTTGTAAAGGTCGTTCGCCGAACTATGAAATCACGAGATCCTGATCCTGCGTCCGTGCGTCGCGAGTCGTCGTGACGTGTATAATCACGGAAAACGCCGCTGAATACCGCCCGCCGCTGCTAGCGAGACGTGTCGCAAGAATACGCAAACAAGATGAGCGCCGACGCGTAGCGAATTAGCGAGAACGGACTGCTCTGCTCGTGAGTCTCGTGACTTGCGGCAAGGACAGAATCAGGTAGTGGGAATGGGGGAAGGCCTCTACTCACAGACCACAATATTCACTCTACAGGTTTGTAACTTACGTCATCAGGAATTCCGGTAAAACGATAGTGTATCTCGCGTAAAACTAATCGAGTGTCGAATTATAACGTGATGATTATGAGGCGAATGTCGAAATTTATATTTGTTAAAAAAAAACATTTAGTAATTTTATTCCATTGTTTTCGTATAAATCTTTAATGTTTAAACCTTTAAAGAACTAATCTTTAAATCTATAAATTGTTAAATTTATTTTTATCTTTTACTTCTTATACAATCTCATTTTTATTAAAAAAAAAATGTATACATAATTTATTGTAGTAGATTTGCGAATTTATGTATAAAAATTGTATGTATTAAAAAAAAATATGATACATAATTTATTGTAGTAGATTTGCGAATTTATGTATAAATATTCACTATGTATATATATGTATATATATTACATTCATTATGATAAATTACTGATGCAAATGGGAATGAAATATGTCATTCAACGGCAACAAATTATTAATCATGATGAAATAATATATATTAATAAGGGAAAATTGATGATATTAATTAAAGAAATAAATTGTGTATGTGTATTTTATTAGCCTCGTTTAAAATTTATCAAAAGTAATACCTAACGATAGATAATAGATATATTACATGATCTGATAAATATAAGATGTATAATTATGAATTTTTATTTATTATAATTAGGTAAAATGCATTCTACTGTATTATATGTTCATATAATAATAATAATATTTGAAAAATATATTAACTCCGAGATTATATATTCTGACCATGGAATATTCATTATCGTACGATCAGAAATCATCAGAAATCACGTATGCAAAGGAGATTGAGTCTTATTTTTTACACTCTTGTTTGATCTTGGTAAATATTTATGTTTTCACACGAATAAACAACAGAAATAGAAACGACAAAAATAACTCACATAAAAGGCATCACAAACAGCACTCATATCCAAAATCGAACAAAGCATGCCAAGTAGCAAGATGACATCAAATAACGTTTCTATAACATCTTTTGACGTTGATGTTATTAAGGTGTCACCTTGCTACTTGGGATAAGACGTCTTAAAAATTTGAGACGTCTTATCGTATGCGAGAAGTGTGTTTAGAATAGTTAATCTAAAAAAATAGTGATATTATTAGCATATGTATATAGATTTTGTTGATTGAAAAACTACAGTCTTATCTTCAATATCAAAGTTTTCATTTAGAGACACTTTTATGCCTTGTCTTCAGCCGTTGTTCTGCATGTTATGCTGTCGACACGTGATTTATACAAATTAATGACTTCAACACACTAGCAATTATGTTAATGACTAGAAAAATAAGCAAACACGCGAGTTCTCGCACACACGGATATATATAGGTAGTTATATACAAAATGACTTAATTTTTATCATAAAAATGAATAAGGAATAAGAATTTTTAATTTTTTAAGATATTTTTAAATGGCTTTTTTCTCTCGTATTTGAAATAGAAGCATAATGTTTTTGTGTTAGTATAAATACATCAAAGAATTGCGATAATATCGAAAGAAATTATTATCGGAATTAACCAAATCGAAAAATTATTACTAGCGTGAAAGATCATATAACAGTGTTTACATTACTGTACATTACGATATCGAAAGATATCGAAAGAAATTATTGTCGGAATTAACCAAATCTAATATCGAAAAATTATTACTACCTAGCGTGAAAGACCATATAACAGTGTTTACGTTACTGTCAATTAAAATTAAAATACTTTTTAAGATGTAAAAATTATATTTTATATTATTTTATTAATTTAATTATTGTTATAACAGTTAACTGAAAATGAAAACTAATCTTTAAAAATAAAACTTAAGGTTTGAGGAATTTATTTTTCTACTACGCCCATTTTCATTAGTAAAGTGGATAATAAGTAGCTTCAATGAGATAAGCGGTTATATATAAATTTGATCAGTAAGTTTCACAAAAATACAGTTTTCTGAAATGATGTTGAAATAAAAGGAAAAAGAACGAAATATTGATTAAAATATCAATTTGTATAATATAACTATTAATGCCATTAATATGTTTACTTTTTTTGTATTTTTTGAATTTTTTCTAATACTGTCAACAGTATATTATGATCATCAATTACAAAATGAATACAATACTGGCATATTGGAAGGACAGATAATATACAACAAATGTTGCTAACAAGTGTCGTAGCTATGTGTATATATTTATTAATTTGGCTGATAATTATCATAACATTATTAATTTGGTGAGCTTGGTCATTATTTTATTAATTAAAAAAATTTAGTTAATTTTATTTAAACATTTTTATTTTATTTTTAAAATTTATAATTGAAATAATCAGAAAAAAACATTTTTAGTATTTAAATCATTATTAATTGTACAAATATATTAAATTAAATATGACTAACGCTTAATATATACTATAATAATATGGTCTTTCTCCCTATACAAGACCGTCGATTAAATTATAAGGAAAAGTAAATCACCTTATCTCTATAAAATACGAGATGTGATCAAAAAATGCAATGAATGTTGAGATAAAAAAAAGTTATTACATTAAAAGACAATTGTCACACATCGCTCACACCAGAACGATGTCATGATGAAGGATGAAACCATTTATTCATTTTTCAGGTTTTTTTTCTATGCATATTTGTTTCTAAAATGCTCTAATAAGCCTTTATAATATTTAGAGTTCAATTCAAAATTAATTCGAGACATCAAGGCAGCCACGATAGCGCAATTATAAAAGGCACTTATGAAAAAGGACTTCCAGTGCTGCTTTGGTGAGCGGCAAAAACGATGGGATAAGTGTATTAGAAGCGAGGGGGAGTATTTTGAAGAGAACTAATTGTAATTTGTCTTTTAATAAGTTTCTTTTTATTTCAACATTCACCGAATTCTTTGATAACACCTCGTACATAATTATAGAGGTCAAGGTCATCCGACGCAAGGCAAACAAATCAACGATATTAGAGTTGTACGGAGAAGCTAAGAATCATGAAATTTACAAAATTATTTTTAATTGCAATTGTTGACCCAATCACGACAACGTCAACAAATGAGTAACTTTTAGTGCAATTATCAAAAATAATTTTGTAACTTTCACCGGCTTCTCCTTACAACTCTAAAATCGTTGACTTCTTTGTGACGAAGCTACGTACGATGAGGCCTTTATATACAGTCAAAATGTCATGAAATATCCGAAAGAAATGTCACAACATATTGTTTAGTAAATTGTTTCATGCACACGGAATCAAATTTATGTTTGCCAAGGCCAGGCGGCGTTTTCCTTTATTACCTGAATGTGCGAAAAGAACGATTTGTTATATTTTACAAAATTCGATACATGTTACATGTTTGGTGATAAGCATGAAATAATTTGGCAATGTTAAAATCTTAAGAGTATTGTGCGTTTAGTGAATATTGAAATTGATTTACTATTAAAGTTATCAACATAAAATCAATCAAAGACTATACACAGAAAGAATGATTTTACTGGAAGGTCTAAAAATTTTGATTTAAAAATAGTTTTGTTGGACTATCAAAATAATTTGGTTGAAAATTTCAACTGATTGCTAGAATATCAAAATGTTTTATAGCAATACTTCATCATTTTTCAGTTTTAAAAACAGGTTTGGTGCATTTATATGTATATGTATATTATAAAATATGAAAAATTTAAAGTTATCAGTTATTAGGAACAACGAAATTTTGAGATTGTCTGCAATGTTAGTTGCAATTGAGCTTGGTCATTATTTTATTAATTAAAAAAAATTAATTAATTTTACTTAAACTCTTTTATTTTATTTTTAGTTTATAATTGAAATAATTATATACAATAAATTATGTATACATATTTTTTTTTAATAAAAATGAGATTGTATAAGAAGTAAAAGATAAAAATAAATTTAACAATTTATAGATTTAAAGATTAGTTCTTTAAAGGTTTAAACATTAAAGATTTATACGAAAACAATGGAATAAAATTGCTAAATGTTTTTTTTTAACAAATATAAATTTTTGACATTTCGCCTCATAATCATCACAAATATAATTAGAAAAAAATATTTTTAGTACTTAAA